AAAGTTAAATACCACAGATTTCTACCTTTTTGAAGATATAAAGATCTTATTCTATTAACTCAAGATTTAGAGCCTATAGAAGATGATGGACTTGATGAGATATGTGAGTTAGCAGATGAAAATAAACTATATATAGATATGTTAACAGAACAAGATAAACAATTAAATGTTGAAACCGATAAAGAGCTTGCTAAAGCACTTCAAGAATATAAAGAAAGTGATAATAATACTACTGATAATATTATTCTTGAGGAATTTAATAAACCATGAAAAGAGATTAATAGCTATGTTATGGAAAAACTTCAGAAATAGGTTACTCTGTTAAAAAGCCAGAAACAATTTAAAGATGTATGGTTTTTGTTTGTAGCAGAAAATGCGATAAGTGGGATAGAAAAATGATAACAAAATGTAAAATATTAAAAAATAGAAAAACTTTACCGAGAACATGAAAGGATTATAATAGACAAACAATGTTCTATAAAGTTATATAGATCTCATAAAATATATATCATATTATATATAATAATGTTTGTATCTATTATTTATATGAAAAGAGCTTATAGTTGTAATGATTGCCCTGTCTGTTCATATAACAATGATTATTAATAGACAATAATAAAGTAAAAAAATAAAATAAAAATAAAAAAATTGGTCTTGCTTTTACTAACTGAACTTACCAATTATTATGAGCCAAACATTTTGTTTGGCATTGCTTAACATCTTGAATATAGTTTATTTTTTAATTATAACGCTAAGATTAACCTAAAGCTATATGTTTAGTTTAAATGTAATACTTCTAGATTATTTGAGAGCTAACAGGTAAATAAAGTTTTAAATAAGGTGTATGCATCAATTATAAAAATTAGTCACTAGACTTATTTTAGAAATCGACAATTTTAATGTTAAAGTTAATAAATCAATATATAATTCAATTAAAATCGCTAATTAGCTGGGGCATAAATAAAAGATAAAGTTATACAAATACAAAAAATACAGTATAATCATCACATGCAGAAAAAATTTCCTGTGGATAAGCTATATAATTTTCATAAATATGTTATCTGACTATCTTTCTATTTAACTATCTCTTTTTCTATTTGTACTAGCAATACTTTCTTTCTCTGATATGCTAATAAATAAAGATAATTTAAAAGAACAATTTTTTAATATAGCTAGAATAAATAGCAAAATAACAGTAAATTAATATGTTCCTTCATTTAATGTTCTTAATACTTCAGAGTTAAAAGCTAGATTATTCTAAACATCATTTATAATACTAAAAATTTATTTATAATATATAAATTTTTTTTTTACATTCTTTCTATAATTTATTATGAATTAACTTTTCTAAAAATTCACTATAATCTTTATAAGAAAAACTTAATACAAATTCTTTATACTTATTTTTAACTCTTAATAGAAGTGTAGGCTTTATTTGTCTGACCAGTTTTTAAATAAAAACTATAGTGAAAAATATTAGAAATAATTTATAGAAATTTGCTTTCTTTAATAATATTAATAAATATATACTATAAATGCTTTTTTTAGACCTTTTAAGTTTTCATATAAATTTACAACTCTTCTTGACAATTACTTGTACAAAACCGTACTGAAAGTAGTTTGAAGTTTTGAAAACTAAAAGCTTCAAGATACTTATAGATCCTATTAGATGCTATTATTAATGAAGACTATATATGTAAAATATCAAGAAGCAGGCATATGTATGCTGGTTTGTGTCTTGGATCAAGCTTTTCTTCTTTGGTGAACTTCCTTGCATATTTGGCATCCAAGTCAGAAGGTTTATTTAGTAACAGTAGTGGTAAAAAGCTCCTGATACAAGTGCTAGAAGCTGCTAGTATGATGAGTATCATCTGGAAATACACTCTCTGATTTAAGTATTCGCAAATATGAAATATTTTTTTTTTCAAACTTTTAGCTTTTTTTTCAACATAAAGTAGAGAATTCAGCATACCCCTCCAAAAGATCAATATTGTTTACCACTTCTATATTGAAAAACTATATGACAACGAAATAACACATATAAAATGAACAGTACTAGTAAATATTAGTAACTGGTAGATACTCTAATTAGATATCTTATATATTAGATTGTTCGGAGCATATAAACACATGCAGTTGCCAAATAGTAATATGTGAAGTTTAAAGTTCTTATGCTTTTGAATGATGATATAGATTTAACCAGAAGAGTCAAGCAAAGTGTAATAAGATATACAAACATCCTGTAGTCATTTGTATATAATTTTTAGTCTCTGGCACAAGTTATAGTATATTTGTTTTTTCTTTTTGTATTAAGATTCTCACAACAATGTAATAGGAGTAGTTTGTTACTCTGTATAGTAAAAAGTTTTTATCTGGTTAGCAGGTTTTCTTCTTTCTAATAGGCTCTAAATCTTGAGTTAATAGAATAAGATCTTTATATCTTCAAAAAGGTAGAAATCTGTGGTATTTAACTTT